CATTGAATCGGATTAGACCGTTAGCATCTCGCTCAAAAATGACCTACTAAGACCGACGGAAAATGAAAATATACTATACACTCATATTACGCAGCGCCTGAAAATAGTCCCAGCTAGGTAACTTCCAATAAGTCTATTTTCAGGCGCTGCGTAATATCATTGCGCCTGCTGCACCCATGGTACGGCAGCAAAGTTCCTTGATTATTACGCCGGAATGAGAGTATAGTCCCTAGCCATATCGGCCTAGAAAATCACAACTTTTCATTTTCCGTCGGTCTTAGTACACGATGTAACTACAGAAGAGTCAAGTTTTAAATAGGAAAAATATCGAAACTCTTTGGTCATTTTTGAGCGAGATGCTAACGGTCTAATCCGATTCAATGATCTATGCTAAGCTAAGCTAAAAGTGCTACCGCCAGACCCGGAGATCGACTGAATGGATTCGAAAACGGTAAAACTCACCTGTGTAACTCTAGGGGAGCTGGAAAATGAGCCTATTTTCAAAAATAGTGGAGTGTTCCTTTAAGACAAATTATACATTTAATGTGTCCTTTTATTATTGCTTGGCCAAAATGCTGCACGTTTCTTTGTGAAATTGAAATAGAACACTATAATAATATAGCTCTTGTATATTATTGCTCTTTTGTTGGTTTTGATTGCTTATTATCCTCATTTGTAAGTGGCTTTGGATAAAAGCATCAGCTAAATAACAAAATTTAAATATAATGTAAATGTAAATAACACAAATAAAATAAATGTCTTAGAGGCAACCACTGCATTTTAATCATGATCCAAACAAAGATGCTGCATACATGCAACACGAGCAGTTTTTAATCTAAATTAGATTTTGAATTTTGAAATTTGAAGCAAAAACAGAATGGTTTGACTTCAGTTTGGTGAAACTATACATAAAAAATATCTGCATGAAACAAACAGCAGACGAGCTGAACGAGACGCAGATGCACTCTCTGCCAGCAGGTGGCGCTTAAAGCCTTTCCTTGGTTTCCGCTGTAAACAAAGCAGCGCTGCACTTATGAACTTTAATATGCATTATACAGAGGCAAGAGGAAAAGAGAAAATACCATCTAAGCTTTTCTAAAGACAGTAAGGGGACATGCATTCATATTAACTACCCCTAACTGAATCGTGATTTGTTTAGTATGTTCTCAACCGAATCGAATCGTCACATATTTTAATCGATTTTCAACCAGCTCGCGGTTAATCGTTACATCCCTAATTGGCACCATGGTATAATCGTCAGAAACTCACCGATGGGTCGGCGGGGTCGTTGGTGACGCCCTTCAGCACGGCTCTGAGCGGTGTCTTCATGAACGGAGCCAGCATGAGCAGAGCCTCCAGATAATAACCCACAGAGCGCTGGATGTTACACTCGTGCTCCACGGAGCCACCGTACAGCAAACCCGGCTGATAGAACAACACCGTTCCTGCATCGACACACACACACACACACACACACACACACA